GAGATGTAGTACCTCGATGATGATGATAAGGGAAATGGGAGTTTTGTATTCACCGAGAATTGCAGGCTTCTGGTTATTGTACTTTTTCTTGTTCCTTGGTTAAGTTCGATTGATCCATAATCCTCGATCCTTATCTTAAGAAGTTTTAGATTATGGACTGTCGTTCAATTCTTTGTTCCGGGTCGTTTCTTCTTATCGTGGTATAACCTACAAATGAGGTTATATATACCATATCAGTTAAGGTTTTTCGTCAAATGCTAATGACCAGTACTAGTAATTACCTTATCACGCCCTTCATTTTCACCCTGTCTAACTGTAGCTGCTTTAAATTCTGTGTTTCTGCTACCTCTCGTCCACATCTTCAGCGAATTGTACGTTTTTTGTCAACCCATTCTGAAATTGAGGAGTCTGTGTTGATCTTTTTTTCTAGAATATGGGTTCTGGGTCTATAGGTCTTACAGATCCTTCTGTGTCCAGTCTGTCTTCTTGTTCATTATCCAGATCTCTTTTCTGTCCTGACACCCAATATATTCTCAGGTGATTGAATTTTCTTTCCGACGTTTTGGAGATTTTGGAAGCATTCATTCATTATTTTGTATGTGACCTTTTACATGGTACTGCTTTTAATACTTTTAGTCTCTTTTAAACTTTCTAAAACACAAGCAATGATACCATGTATGCCAGCTTGAAAGGCCGAGGTGTTCTTCCCTAATAAGTTCGATTGTTCATGTTTTGAGCTTGCACAGAATATACCTGATCCGGTCCTTCATTGGGTTTGGATGTACTATATACTATATACCGTACACATAATTTGATTATTCTGATTTCTTCACCTTTTTTTTATAAACTGCTAAAACTTTATAGTATGTTGCAAAGATGGTTCTGGGATCATATAGTCAGGCCCCATTTCTAAGAATGGGTGTCTGACTTTATTTATTATTGTTGTATGCCCGGAATGTTTAGTCACCCCTCCAATTTGCTGATTTTTGGAGTCTGCATGAGCTTCTCTTTGCATATATGTTTCTAATTGAGGTAGTTATCTGTAAGACATCTCATGGAGTCATTGCCTCTGTGAATTTTCGGGTAGCTTGTTTTTGTTATATCTTAGTATCGTTATGTTGTTCTTGTTCTGATCATGCAGCCACTCAACAGGTGATGAGAGGAGAGGTAAGTTGAAAACCCATGAAAATAAAACAGAAAAGAAAAAATTAATGCGGAAAAGTATGGAAAGAAACAATAAGTCCATATTCCTTAAACCAACAACCACTCTACTTTAACCTTTCTTACCCTATCATTTAATTATCTATCCCCTTCCCTATTTGCTACCAATATTTATCGACAACTGGTTATGACCCAGCTGATAGTAATGAAAAAAGAACAATAGAGATAATGTAGTGTGCAGGGAGCGTCGGTGACCGCCACGGTTTAGGTTCTGACACGGCATTCATCACTGTAAGGTAAAGGTCCAGGGTTCAAATACTTCTACAAATTCAAAAAGTTACCCAGTCCAATTTGTCCCGAGTGCGGAGAGAAAGACAGTGTCCAATATTTAACCTGTGTTCTCTTAGAACCCGCGAAAGAACCGGTGAAATTGTTGTTTCGTGAAGGATGGCTGCCAACATTAAATGACCTAATAAAAGAAAAGCGCGCTTTCGAAACGCTAAAGGCAATAAGCCAAGCTATTGTAACTTAAGCACCTATTTATTTATAAGCAGTGATAACATGTTAGAAAATAGTTGATTACTTAGTAGATTAATTGGTAAGGTAGGTTAATAGTGTTTTTTAGATTTTTAAAATACAGGCCGTTTACTCCTTATTCATTAGGACTTTAATTAATTATATGTAGTATAAGCAATATGTAAATATTTAATTATCAAAGGAGTAACCAACAAGGGGAAACCTTTTGGAACAGGAACAAATAATCACCGAGAAATACAAAAATTTACCCTTACCTTAATTGGGCCTCCTCCCTTCACAGGGCGAGACTGAAGGAAGGCGTTAAGTACCCCAGGACCCAAAATTAGAAACAAAACTAGATTAGAGGCCGAGGTCCGCCGGTATGGGGCTCCCTAAGGTACGGCGGGGAGGTGGAGGAAAAAAAGTCCCGGGTTCGAACCCGACATACTTAGCAATTTTTTTTTTCAAAAATACCGGCACTCTGAGGTGCCTATATGACTCTGCTGTTGCGAACCCTCGTAAAAAAAATATAGTGAACACTTTTGGGCTGTTTCAGGCTTAGAATGTTCGTTTCTTTTTGGGCGTTTTACGTCAGTTCTCAACAACTGTAGTAAAGTTGTTCCAATCTGTTTGGACCAAACGGTTTTCCGCTTTAATCATTGTAGTGACATCTTGTTTAACACGTTTCTATAGACAAGCAAGTACTGACGAATTCCCCTCGTAAAAAATGGCATTTTCCACAGTCTTTAAAGCGCATCTTTAACGCATTAAGGACAGTAATTTTCCGGCGTTGACGATACAAGTTCTGAACCCGAATGGCAATTCATCACTGACGGTGGAAAGTTAAGTGTAGGCCATAAACGACGCGTGCCGGCGGAAATATTTTCCGCTCCCGTAACATCAACCATAACCGACAAAAATAGCCAACAGGATAAAAAACCTGACTTTGATAAATATGACAGATAACGGCGCGACTGACCTCATTAACCGATGCTCCTGAAGTTTTGCAATAAGAATATGCTTTAGATTTTCGAAAGACCGGTGCGAATGACAACCGGACATTACATATGTGTGAGGAGTTACAAATGCAAATTACCTCTGGTCCTAAGTGGAACTATTGAACTGGATGATTGAGACGGATGTAAATCTTCATGGATAAAGGGAGTCGGTTTTTCGACCTTTCTGAAGAGGGCACGAAGATGACAGTGTTTCATAGGCGGAGCTTTTAAAAAAACAATGATTTATTTCAATGACGCTTTCACTCTTTTTCCCTTGTGCGAGGTCGTACCCTCCTGCGGACCGTGTCGTTTTCAAGTTCAATAGGATTTCTCGGTTTACATGTCAGCGGTTTTTTCTTCCGATTTCTCCTGTGAACGTTAAGAACGGTCAGATCGGTAACGTCCCTCGTTACATCACGGTTTCTTTTTTGTAATATTATTATTATTATTTATAGCGTAGAAGATGCGGGATACAAAACATCTTTTCGTAACCCGCCCTCAACATGCAATTATCCTGTCGGTACAAATATGACTTCTTTTTCCGGTTCTACCATGTTGAGAGGCATACAACAAAGTGTACTCGATGTACACTATAGTTCTGATGGGCGAAACGTTTAATAGGCTTAATAGTTTCATTGCCATTAAACCTGAGCTCGTATCCGACTCTCTGAAGATTCCCCAAAAGACCTTGGGCATAATGGATATAATGATAAAGAAAACGGAAAAAAATTGATTAAAAATAAGGGTGAAAAGAAAATTGTTTAACGAGATTAACAGCAAGGTCATTTCAGACCCCAACGCATCATTTTTTAAACCTAAACCCACTCACCCTTAAATACCACATTTTTTCCTTTTTACACACGATTTAATGAAATAGGGTTGTGAAGTACTCGATGTTTTACGAGAGGCCCTCACACACACACTCACATTTACGCTAATAAATACATTCACTCTTCATATCACTAAAGGGAACAGGAGACAAAATATCTATGTACAGTGAAACAGCCCTGTTTGTCGTTTTCCAAAAATTAGAACGGTGAAACCAACTACTCGCACAATTCCCATATTGGGTGGCATTCCAAAGGATTTTTTCCACCTCCCGGTCTGCCTAGGGAGACAGCATAGTGGCGATAGAGCCAAGGTATGACACTTTCAAGTGAGACACATCGAGCAACCTTTCTTTACATTCCGGTCAAATCTGCGGGCGTTAGTCCAAAACTAAGTGTCCGGGTGCCAATCTGGCATGGCCTATTCTTAATCGGGTGAGGATGATCCGACAAATTTTTGATTGATGCAGTTATATTTTTCATTTGTGATGTTTATCATATAAAAATTGTTCAAGAAAACAAAAGGTACAATTTTAAAATATTAAAAATTAAATAATTTAATTAAAAACAAACAAAAACAAATAACCAAGTATTTTTATTTATTAGAAAATTGACAAATTTTATTATTTTTATTAATAAAAACGACATTAGAATAACCAGATAACGCCATTAAATAAATTATTTGGCTTCATTTGAAAAATTGGTTATATCTTTAATAAATGATTCAATTTTAAAAAACCCTCAATTTTATAATAAAAGCTAGATTTGTTGAAAGTTACTAAATTTTCATCTATTATAATATTTTAGGATAATATTTTTTTCCTGCTAGGAAGTAGGAGTATTAATCTGGAAGTAGTGAGTTCGAATCCCGCTCGTAACACTAATTTTTCATCTCGACCTACTTTGTATAAAAAAAATATTTATTTTATATTTTTACCTTTATATTAAGCTCTCGTTTTATGTCCTTTTATACAGTTTTTGTAATTAATACATTTTGAGACCTTAAATTTACTATGAATGAATGGTATTTGATTTAGTGATTAAATAGAAAATGGAATCTTTTGTTGCAATTAAATTAAGAAAAGTTTTTACCAACTTTTTATTAAAAACATAGTGAGGTCGCCGTTTATTTAATTGAGGATTCAACAATTTTCATGACAAATTCTGCCCTGAATCTATTTAACTATGCTTTTGAATTTTTTTTCGTTTTGACCGAGCAATCGCCTCGAATCGCCTGGATAATAAAATCTGCAAAATTCTTTAGGCAAATCTGGCCGCTGGATGAAAACTGTATGCTTCAAGAAATTTTATTTGCTTCCTGTATATTTGTCGTCGGGTATGTCAGAATAGCAAGAATGTTCCTGCGGTCCATCCTTTTAGTTACTGTACATATTATGTTAGCCCATGTGGGTAGGATACTAGATGTTTATTGGTACTTTTACTTTTAATTTCTCCAATTTGTTTTCTCAATAAAATAATCTTCAATTTTTTTTTAAAGAAAAAGAGGCAGATCTTCAGAGAGCAAGTCCTTCCTCACTCAGGCGGCAAGATCCCCGAAGAGGCTTTCAGGTCGGACAGACTCGCCCTGAATAAGTTAAACGCCGCTGGCATAGCCGTACCAGACGGGATCCTCCTTGAAACAAGAAACCGAGAGTCGCACTTCCCGTCGCACAGGCACGACCCGGACATAGAAGCTTCGATCATAAAACTGGTGCAGAAACCCGACGGGAGATACGCTCCTCCCGAGGGACGATATCCGTTCAACAACCTCGTCGCCTCCACTTATGTAATAAGGAAGCCCATTCACAGCCATCACGTCGTCATACCGCCGCAGAGGCCCATCCAGACGATCTTCAGACTTCCGGCTAGACCGTTTTTCGAGGCCGATGATGATCTGTTCGAATTAAACAACGTTGACGACTTCGACCTTCTGAATACTTACAACACCGATTTCCCGGGAAGCAGGGTAAGTCGAACAATCACATTCAAATTGAGTTAAACTGACTTTATTATAACACTTCAAAAAGGATCTGTGTTGAACTTTCTTAAAGACAAGTAATTTTGGGAATTTCTTTTAATTCTTCTTAATATTCCTGCACGATCTTGTATTACTTCCAACTATTGTTAGTTCCCTTCCAAAATTAAAAATAATTCGTCCTAAAAAAAGTAGTGTGCTGGTTTCAGATCATTTGGTCTACCTATATTCATAATTTTGTTCAGCCGAACCTTTTCTCTGTTTCTTCATTGTGCTATTTTTTCGTGCGTTAATTAGTCAAGTCCCTTTTACCGTGAAAGCCACTACTGAAGATGGTGAAATTGTGCGTGTCTACCTCAAAATAGGCAGTCCAAATCGGAAACAACAGGTTATCATATCACAAACCTTTAGAATAAATCTCATAAAAAAAGATTATTTTTTTGTTTTAAAGGCAAATTCCGCATTTTGGTTTATGGACTTTTATGGTTGGCAAATAATCGGTTTAGTCAACCCTAAAGCCTTTCAATATTTTGAATGACGGTTTATTGCTTCATTCATGGGATTAAAAGTTTATTTAATAGTTATACACAGGTCATCCTTTCTAATAAACAAACTATTTTGTTTTTATGTTATGTAGGGGGAAGGCGATTCTAGTCTATTTCGAAAAATGAGATTTGGCAATTTCTCATTGCCTATTCTTGTTTTCAGGGAGCAGTTCTTAACATATCCTACAAAAATTTTTGTTGTTTTTGAATTTCACTTTTAGAAAAAGTAAATAATGTTTCTCCTACATCCTTGTTTCTATAAATGTGAAAATATGGAACGACTCCACTCTTAAGTTCTACAAGGTGTATACCGCCTTAAAAAAAAATTAATAAAATTTATTAAAATGCTATTTATACGTGTAAAAAGTTAAATATTCAACTTGTATTTCATGTTGACATTTAGAGTTAGTTTCGGTTGTTTTGTAGGATAAGGGTTGCTGTTAAGTTAAAGTAGGGTTAGGTTGAGTTGGTTTAGGTTAGAATCAAGGTTAGGTTAGGTTATAGTTAAGGGATGGCTATATATTCATGCTTCAATTTTTTCTATGAAGCGCTGAACATGAGCAAAAATTAAGTAGAATTAATGTCAACATTTCCATTTTTTATGGTTTTCTTTTTTAGTCAAGACACTACGGACAAAAACGTAACGAGAAACCGTGGTACTATTCTTTTCTCGATCAGAAATAAGAAAAATGATCATCAGGAGAATAAAAAGGTTTTCTAGTTTCAGAAATATGAATTGTTTTGGAATTCTTCTAGTGATGATTTAAGAAAAATTCTACAAGGTATTTTGTAGAATTATTATTTATTATTTTATTATTTATTTCCCCTTTATTTCCTTTATTTACTGTAGGCTGAATCACCATGGGGAAAAATACCTATAGGTGCACAATTGTTTCTGTGTTTATAAGGTTTTCTGGACCGGACTTGAATATGAAAAATATGAAGCAATATGCTTATCAGAAAGTAATGAATAAGTTTATTGAAATGACCCATAATTATCCATTAATAATCTCTTGATATCCTTATTGCAATTTAATAACACAGTTCCCTCTGATAAACAGTCTGTGATTCTGTTTAAAATTTTTGTATATGAAGTTTTAATTTAATGATTTGAATTGAACTGGTCAGGACAAGTGCCGGTATTGAAAGATTGACGAGGTTGCATGTATCAATCGTATTGCAACCAATTGTGCATAGTCATCGATGAAACATGAAGCCTCGCGTGTTGTAACAGATGAAAAGGAGGTCTGACTGACGATCGACTAATGCAAGCCGATTTTCTTTCATATCTGTGATTATTTGGCCGTAGTAAAATACTGTACTTGTCGGGATTGACCGGCTAGTTTTCGAGAAACGGTTAATAAAGGATTCCTCTACAATAATACAAAATACATGGAATTATCCTATTTGAGAGGTCAATATAAGTTTGTGCTGGGTTATTTCACAGAATCAATTTTCTGTATCGTTATCATTGCAGTTTGAAAGAAGTACATAAAATGAAATGAGGTTTCTAAAGTTTCTTTGAATGGGAAAATAAATATGCGTGTAAAAATCAGTGATCAACACTGATTACATTGCTCGGTCCGTTTATTCTTGGTTTTCATTTCAACTCATGCCATCTTCATTGAGGACCAGTTCATCAAACATTCATCCACTTACAGAATAATAAAAACCACTAATTGTAACATAAAAACAAAACATATTGGCAGTATCTTTGGTTCTTTTTTACCATTCTTCATGCTTAGCTTTTAGAATTCGTAAACACAACAAAAACTTAACCGTGAAAGAAGGGCCAAGTTCCAGGCCCTCTCCAAAAAAATTAACCTAACAATTTAATGATATCTACACTGTGGCCAAATCAGGTTTTTTTAGTCCATAACCGGAGAGAACTCAAAAGAAAAGATAAAATTTCCAGACTCCTTCCCAAAACAATTAGTCTATAAAAGTAGTGATATCTACGTTGTGGGCAAGTCTGTTTTTTTAGTCTATAACCTGAGAGAACTCAAAAGAAAAGATAAAAGTTCCAGACTCTTTCCCCAAACAGTTAGCCTATGAAGTTCTTTATAAGTTCGTTTTGCCTAATGTACTGGAATTTAGAAAACAACTGAAATGTACCAATAGATGCGACACAAGAATACTTCGGACCTTCTGTTAGCCTATGAAAATAGTGATATCGACATTGTGGCCAAGTCAGGTTTTTTAGTCCATATCCAGAAAGAACTCAAAAGAAAAGATAAAAGTTCCAGACTCCTTCCCAAAGCAGTTAGCCTATGTACGTAGTGATATCTACGTTGTGGGCAAGTCTGTTTTTTTAGTCTATAACCTGAGAGAACTCAAAAGAAAAGATAAAAGTTCCAGACTCTTTCCCCAAACAGTTAGCCTATGAAGTTCTTTATAAGTTCGTTTTGCCTAATGTACTGGAATTTAGAAAACAACTGAAATGTACCAATAGATGCGACACACGAATACTTAGGACCTTTTGTTAGCCTATGAAAGTAGTGATATCTACATTGTGGCCAAGTCAGGATTTTTAGTCCATATCCAGAGAGAACTCAAAAGAAAAGATTCCAGACTCCTTCCCAAACAGTTACCCTATGAAAGTAGTGATATCTACATTGTGGCCAATCTCCCTTTTTTTTTAGCAACTCTGTTCTTTTATTATTGCTTAACACTTTGCCAGTTTCTAAATGAGCAATGAGGAGGCTAGAATTTTTTTCTTTTCTTCTTAGTAGTTCTCTATCTTTCCTTCATGGTATTGATGTTTTAATCCTCATTCAGAAAACAAAAAACTTGCCAAGTGTTAAGCAATAAAATTTAAAGAACAGATTTGCTCATAAAAGTAGGAGGTGGAAGCTATACATAGCGAGTTGGTACTTATTCTTTTCATAAGATCATGTTTCAAAATAACACAAAACGCAGGGATTTTTGTTGACCAATTTTGGTTGCTTAATTGTTCAATATGAAATATTAGTATTGATGGAATTTTATGTTTCTTAAAATTATAAGAGTAGTTGTACATAACAAATATCCTGCTTACATCCAGATGGCTCTTATTGTTATGAAATTATTTATTTTTGGTATGGTATTTTCTTTTTTAAAATTGCAAAAACCTTTGTATCTATATAAATTTATTTTCTTGAGCAGGCTCCAGTTCTGGATTATATTTAATTAAGCCCATTCAATAAGGGGAAAGTGATCACACATTGTGTCCCATTGAGGCCGTTGTGTAAGGGCCTATTGCCATTTTTTCCCTTTTTGTAAATTTGACATTCACCGACTTTTCATCTACCAAGTTTTGTCTTCCACGGAATATCGAAGAGCATTCTAGGTTGCAAAAGTTCCGGTTCTCAGGACGGTAATTGTGGCGTGTTGCAGGGAAGGTTTTGCAACTTCCAAGCAGAGTATACGCTTCGTCCGTGAAATGCTGGATAATCTGGATGTATAAGAACAAACCCATGACGTAATGGATTTGTTGAAGTAGGTCGGTTATACTGGTAAATTAGCATTTTGGATTTACCTAGGCTTAAATCCGCACGAGTACGTACACACAAACAAACGTCTGCCGAATTAAGCCCATTCCGTTCTCATAGTCCACCGGCAATTCCAGCTTTTGCTATTTCAGTAAATTACCGGCAGACTCGAGAATCACCCACGGGTGTTGGCAGTCCGGGGGCAGACCTCAGTCTTATAAGTCTAGCCTCTGAGGTTGGGCTACGGTGGGTGCTGTAAACAGCTAGGACATTTTAGCACTTAACGTATGTAGTTCCAAATCATTCGTACTCACGTTCACTCTTAAGTACATTCATTAAATTCATTCAATTAGGGTGGTGGATATTCCTTCATAACCCTTCACACATATTATACAACTAACCTAATGAGGATCGATGGGGTACTCGATATTCCGCCTTCCTCTCACAAAACACTTTCACGCTAATAAATACATTCACTCTCAAAAGAAGCAAGGTACAGACAACTATTATTATTATATATACAGGGTGACTGGTGATAAGTGTCAAAAATTTCTGGAGGTGTTTCTATTCACCATATGCATCAAAAAACTTCTTATAAACCCCTGTCCAAATCTCCACGATAAAGAATTAATCAGGTTTTGGGTTTTTTTAAATTTTCGACTTAGGTCCACTGAATTGATTATAAACTTCAGAATTACTGACTGCAGAAAAATCTGGTTTGTGCCACCTGAAAGAACGTTAAATTTGCTGTAAGGAAACCTATTTACATTGCAGAATCGTTGAAAAAATTCTACATGAAAAATTCAGAAAAAACAAAAATGTTGAAATTTGGATTTTTTTTTAAATGTTGGATTGGTAACAGTATATAACTACAAATTCCTTGTGCTCCCTCAAAAGTTCTCCATTCAATTAGCTTCCAGCAGTATACCAACCTTTTTGGATTGCGTTTCTGGAAGGCCCAAAAATTTGAGGGAGC